CAGTGCCAGCAGCACCTCACACATGGAGGAAGCAGCCCCGTCGCAGTCCCCATGTACCACTGCACTTTGTCACAGGGGTGTCATAACTGGGACCAATGCAGCCAAACAACAATGCACAACAGAACGATGGCAGGTCCTGTGTTCGAAAGCAGGGCAAACCAGCCAGCATGAAAAAGAGCCCTTTGAACAATGCTTCAGACACTGCACCATGCAGAGACATTTACTCTCCTTTGCCGAGTACAAGAGAAGCAACACTGAGCTGCAGCACCAGTGCTGAGCGAGCTTTTGCATCCCCACAGCTGCACCATGCTTGTCCATGCTGCAGAGACAAGGTGAGCACAAGGCAGGTGATGACAGAGTAACTAACCTGGTATTTCTAAGCAGAAACACATGACACAACAGTCCAAGAGTTACACAGGAGCTTAGTGGCTACAAAGAAAAATCATGCTGCTATAATAAAAAGAGTACAGAAAAGGGAAACTCCCTATGCATGGTTCCCAGTCTAAAGTTAAAGCAAACCTTCACATCTTCTCTTACAGTAACAATACAGAAGAACTGTGGTTTTGGTTGTGGCTGCAGAATGTTGTTACTGCCCATAAAAATGGTGTTATTGTTCCAGGATGAGCCACAGAGGGATAAGATATGACTGGGCCAAGAGAACCTGGGTGGAAAGGACTGTTACCTCACCAGGAGGGCAAAGCAGGACAGACAAAGCTGGGAACAAAGACTAACCAGCTGTAAGATCACTGCTTTACCAGACAGAATGCTAAATACTGCTATTTGGCTTCCAGAAAGATAAAACAGCACAGTGCAAGATGGGAAAAATTAGGATGCACAAAAAGGATGGGAAGATGCTGAGGGAGGCACCACTTAATGACTGCAGGGAATAAAGAAGGCTGCACCTTCCAGAGCAGAACTCTGAAGATGAGACAGTGACTTGGGTCAAGTACAACAGGACCATGGAGGAGGGAGGTGCTGGAAAGCAATAATGGAACACTGTGACAGGGAGCTATGGCTGGGATGTGCAGAGGTTCTCAGGGAAGGCATGGAGAGGTGAGAAAGGAGCCCGTGGCAACTGTGACATGAGGAGAAAAGGGGAGATGCAGCTCCATGGGGTGAGGATGCCCTTGAGGATTCAAATACCAGATAAATGGAGCAGCATTAGGGAGTAGGAGCCCAAATCTGACCTCCATGACTCCAAGACAATATTACAGGGAAAGAGGGCAAGGAAAGAAAGAAGACAGACGGAATCTTGCAGAGCCTGGGTACACCGCTCACTGAGCTGGGTAAAGCTCCCCGGGAGGTCTGAACCTGGGCACTGGGAAGAAGGTGGCCTAAGCTGGGCTACTGGGGAGGGGAACTGGAGAGGCTCAAAGAGGCACCGGGGGCAACCCCAGGAGCCACTGAGGGCAGTTTGTGGGGCACTGGCAGACGCTGAAGGGCATTTAGGGGACAGCTGTTAACGGGCACCTGAGATAACAGCTCATTATGGGGACCCCTGAGGGGCATTTTAGGGTTCACAAGTGCCTGCAAAGCTGTTGGGGGTGTTGTCAGGGGGTCTCTACGGTGGGGGTTGGGGGTCGTCAGCAGGACCCGGAGGGGTGGTTGGGCTGTCACCGAAAACGACGGGATAAATAAACCTTTCTAACACAGACAATATTTGTTACAATTAAAGCTTTTCCAGCCAACGGGGGAAAGGGGGAAATGGCCGAGTCCCTAAGGGGCGCCTTGGCGGATGTGAGGTGGTCACAGGCAGACCCCTGAGGGGTCGCTGTGAGGGGAGAGGAGTGGGATGTGTGGGGGGATCGCCGGCAGCTCCCTGAGGGACGGGGGTTCGGTGGCAGGCCCCAAAGGAAAGCTTCGGGGGTCTCTGGCAACTCCCAAAGCGGCGGCCCGGGCTGGCGGAGGCGCGGACCGTGCCGGGCAGGAGGGAGAGGCGGCGGTACCGAGCGTAACGCGGAGGCAGCGCCGGCCGCAGCGCCGCCAGGACCCCGAGGCCCTGCCCGCGGCCCCCTCCCGCCGCACGCACCTTCTGGCGGATCTGCCCGGACGTCGAGACTTTGCGGATGAGCTTCTGCAGGGAGCCGGGCTCCTGCTCCGGCTCGCTGTCCGACGACTCCTCGGGCGCGGCGCCGGCGGCCGGCTCTGGCTGTGTCTGCTCAGCCCCCGCCGCCGCCATGCTGCACGGACCGGCGGCGCGCCCGGCGCCCCCTACCGGCCCCGCGCGCACGGCGCCCCCCAGCGGCGGCCGCGTCACATGGCGGCGGCGGAGGGACGGGAGGGGCCGGGGCGGGGAAGGGCCCGGCCGCCGTAGCGGGACGGTCACGGCCGCCCTGCCCCTCCGCGGCTCCCTGCGAACCGCCCGACCGCGATCGCAGCGGCCCGGCCGTAGCCCCTTGGAGCCTGGACAAAGGTTTTCAGAGCAGCCCTCCCCGCTGAGGCGAGCCCGACAGCCGGGACGGCGGTCCCCATTCCTTCCCATTCTTCGTGGCTACTGCAGCACACAATCACAGAGTCATTCGGGTCGGAAAAGACCTCTGACACCATCGAGTCCAACCCATAACCGAACACCACCTTGTCAACCGGACCAAAGCACTGGGTGCCACATTCCGTCATTCCCTGAACACCTCCACGGACGGGCACACCACCACCTCCTTGGACAGTCCGGCCCAAAGCTCTCCCCGTGTTCCCAGGATTTGATGAAAAGCTGCGAGCACACCGTGCAGCCCGGGCTCCAGCTGCCGTGCACCCCCGCCCCGAAGGGCACTTCAGGGGCGCTGAGGCCGGGCCGCTGCCACTGCCGCCCCCGGCCCGGCCCCGCTGGCAGCGGCCTGGTCACTGCCTGCCCTCTCTAACACCCTCAGCTGCGGGCAGGGGAGTGCTGCCGCTGGGATCTCACGGAGACGTGCGAAGGGAAAGCGTCTGTCACCAAACCCGTCCTGTCATGTATTTGCTCCTAGCTGTCTCCAAACACAGCAGGTCCAGAGATGCCATCCTCCCAGAGCGCATCCCTCTCCGGGAGCTGGCGAGCTCTTCACAAACAGAGTCCCACCACATCAAAGCCGCCCAGTCAGGAAACTGGATCTGCTCTCCCCCAGCGGTAAACAGGAGGAGCAGGCCACAGGTCTGACTCGGTATATCAACATAACACCAGAACCAGAAGAAAGGGAAGATAAAAGGCAAACAGTTCTAGAGACCTATTTTCTGCTGACAGAAGTCAGCATCTGCTGGCTGAAGGGCCGGAGAAAAGTCCAGCTTGTCCTGAAGGAGAGGGAACTGCAGGAACCAGCAGAAAACCCTCACTGCTCTCTCAGTAAATCACCGGCCTGGGCTGAACAAATAGGCTTTCAAAGTGCTTTCCCAAGCCCGGACAAAAGAACAGACTTAATAACCATTTAACAACCCTTTCCTCCCCACTGCACAGACTGCACTGTGATTTTGTCCCCTTAGCTTACAGAAGTCATCACCACAGCTGATTTTGAGAGGAAAGTCAGGCAGAAACAGAGGCCCCAAACAAAGCTGACATATAAGAAAATTTTTTAAAAGGAAAAGAAAAAAAAAAATTAATCAGATCTGACTTTACTGGTCCCATACTTACAGGTGTAGTAGCCAGAAACACTGAAGGAAACACCTCTGTGGAGAAAGATACACTTTGAAGACCTATTTCCCCTCCTTCTCTTAGATCTTTAAAGGATTTTCTGAACTCCTGCTCTCCACAACCAGCATATTCACAACCCGTAATTTCTTTAACCTTACTGTATCTTTTGTGTATTCTCCAGCCACCAACATGTTAGTAGTAAAAATACCAGGGAAAAGCCTTCCCAGACATCCAGGTGCAAATGCTTGACCCTCCTGCAAAGCTGAAATCACACAAATTATCCTGATCACAAACACCTGGAACTGGCCGAGTTCAAGTTCCAGCAAAGCACCCAGTGCAGAGCAAACATTGTGCCTCTTGCAATTCAAGCTAAGGTGAGACACCTGTGACTAATGGACAGCACTGAGGAACGGGTGTATTAGGGCAGAGCACTGATGGAACCCTGAAGTCAGCTGTGGTCTTAATTAACTGCTTCCAGCATCTTAATCAAGACCAGTTTACAAAAGCAAACTGCTATAAGTGTGAAGTTCTTAATTCTATTTTCCAGAGTGTAGGGTGGGAAACGTAAGTCTATATTCATAAATGTGGGTCCTGCATTCAGACTTTCCAGGGAAATTTAAACCAGGGACACTGAAAAGCAGATTTAAAGCAAAAATTAGAAAAATAAAACACCAGTTGTTTTACATGCAAAGTGTAATTAGCTGATGCAACTTACTTCAGCAAAAACTTACACGAGATTCAGGAAAATATCTGACATTTACATGGATAATAAGAATATCCAGATCAACAAGAGAAAACAAAGTTTGCAGAATGCAATCTCATTTCTTAGAGCATAAACCAGCTGCTGGCAGATGGATGTTGGGAGAGGCTCCTCAGGGAAGGCTGCGCCATAATTTCCTCCTTAATTTTCCTGCACCCTCTTTTGAAGCAGTTGCCTACAGGAAACTAGATTAAATACAGACTCTGTCTGGACTTGTATTTCTGTTTGGCATTGTATATAGGGAGCTTTAAGCAATTCATTGACAGTGCAAATTTATCTCATCTTTAATAACGTGGTTATTAAGCATATTGCTAGAAAGCTAATACTGTGTATCAGCATTGTCTGCGCTGTGGGAGACAACTTGTGAGACATTTACTGGTACAGAAAGTGAATGTAAAAGCCACGTGGGGACAGTGCAAGCACTGAAAAAATTCACTGGCTGAATTTGGTAAAGCATCAACGCAAAAGCAACCAAAAGGAAATAAAATCACTTTTGTACAGTCTGCTGAGAAACTTTGATGAATCACACATGGCTGCAAGCCAGCCTTCCAGGCTAGGATTTCATTCACTGGCACTTCAAAGTCACAGACTCTGACACTGAATAAGTCCAGGCAGGCTGCATAAACCCTCATTTAAGCTCTCACCAGTGCTGAAAGTAAACAACCTTTTTATTAGGCAGCCCTGAAAGCAGAAGTCAAGATATGGCAGATGTCATCCTCTGGTAGCTCGAGTGAGAACCAGGTGTTGTGTTTGCCCCATTCAAGGTGAATCTTGCAATAAGCAGTAAAGGTTCCTGATGTCATGCCCACTGACCTCAGGGCTGACCCCTGGAAGACCATGTATGAACTGAGAACATGCAGATTACTAGAAACTTAGGTCCTACATTTGTAATTGAAGCCAGACAACATAGCTCCTTTGTCAGCCTGTTCTTTTAATCACTCATCGGTTGAGGGTGAATTCTTGTCCTCTTCATCAGGTGTATTTTTTAGCTTCTGACGAGCAAACTCCTCAAATACCAGCTCTGCTTCACTGCAATGAAAGGAACAGAGGTCTTTCAAAATAATGTTACCCTATTTTTACACCAGTAGACTGCAGGCAACACATAGGATGAAGAAGAGAAGCCCACAATAGACTGGTAGTGTTTCCTTTGTCTCCAAAGTGATTTGGATCACATTCCCACAGACACCATCTTCACTGCTGCTATTCTAGCTAAAATGAAAAGCAGTTGATTAAGCAAGTCAAGGCACAAATTGAGCATGTTTTTCATCTGTACTGAATCATGTCCATTCCATATACATATTTATCAGCTAGCTGAACATCCTAGAGCTTGCAAGGGGCTTTGTCCAGGAATAAAATGTGAAACATTTCACCCTTATTCCTTCTATACTGAAATAGAGGGACATGGTCAAACCTAGTAAGTTCCTTACACTTCCAGCTATAGAGCACAAACACATCCCTGTTCAGCAAAACACGATCTCTTAATCTATCTTCACATGGTCAGTCACTGCTGTTTAACTCAGAGCTGTCATTTGTCAGGCCACAGTAACTTGCTCACTTTGGGTTTTAAGCTAGGGATTTTTGCACAGTTTTGAAGAGTTTTAGAAAGAGTCAATGCACAAGTGTAGCTAGAATGTGAAATACTAAAAGAAACTTACCCATCCTTCCCTGCAGTCACGAGAATGCAGCAAAGGAGGAAAAGAGACACACGGATAGTCAGAACAGCAGATGGCTAAAACACTTGCAAAATGTTTAATGCAAAAAATGTATGGATTGACAAGTCAGAGCAGTGACAAGAAGTAGGATTTGCAGCAGTACAAGCAAAATTCCAGAAAGTCTCAAAATGTGCATAACTACACCTGATGAGGCAAATCTCAATCTCCCAAATGGAAAAGCATTCCAGCAATGATGCCCAAGCTACCTGAAGGGCTGAGGAACAAAGACAGATTTTCCCATCTACTCTTGCTCATGGTCCCACATGATGTGGGAGACTTCTGTGCACAGACCTGGACTCTGAGCTGACAGTGCTTGCATGACAGGATGTCAGCTTGAATTGCTCTATCACTGTGACTGAAGAAGTCAGCTTAGACTTAGATAAGAAGACAATGCTTTTGTTCAATAAACATGAAGTTATTAAAATTAGAGGTCAAAGTACGGAAACACCTCAGGGATCTCTCATCAGACGGGTTAAGGCTTTTGGGACAACACTCCTGATTTCATCTTGCCCTAAAGATGTTTTCAAGGCTTTTGACATTTGCGTTTCTTTAGTGGGAACTTTCCTAACCACACTATAACAAATCCTACTTACTAGCAGGATTCCTTGAAAGTTGTTTCAGCACAGCCTAAAATAAGCAGAAGACTGTATTTGCAGGGATTTTATTGTTCTCACAGTTATTTTAGGAAGGCATAGTCACTTAACTGGCTTACTTCTCATGGCTTTGGGTCAGGGAGCAAAGCACCCTTGTTCTACAGAAGCAAGACTGGGGCACTTCAGTGACTGGATAACTCACTACCTGGAGATTTCCCATCCACAACACACATTGCAATCAAGGGCAACACACACTGCTGGAAAAGTCAGCATCAAAAGTGTGCCAAAGAGGGCCACTCCAGCCAAAATGCCTCAAAGGATGGCTCATGTAAAGACACTCCTGATGGAATCTCTCCAGACCAGGACAGAAGCCAAGATGAAGTCTGGAAAGTCTCGGGGCATGTATGCTTGATTGACATGGATTTTAAATGAAACATTTAGAACTTCTAAAATTTCCAACATATAAAGCATCATTCTCATTCCATTTTTCTCCTTTAGTCTGCTCTCTTTCCCCTCTTGGAGGCACATTCATTACTATGGGAACAGTGATATCAGTGATGTGGGTGAAGCTGAGCAAGATCCCCACTAGTGATCTGCAACTTTTTTTACAAAATGGAGTGAGGGAGGAAATAGGTGTTGTTTCAATTGGGCATATACTTAACTGTCAGAGAAATGATTACTGAGTCAATACACAGATAGTGTGGCAGCAGAGTAGTGCTCATAATGTACCTCAGATGGAAGACTACATTCAGAGATGCACCACTTCAGCTTCAGGCTGCAGCACTAACTCCAATATAATCCAATTGCATGCTAGCAGGAGTTAGGTCTACTCCAGAGTTTTCTGACTGTCCTGTGACTTATTTAATATTATAATATTGAAAAATTCCCAGAAAATGGGTAGACTTTTGCTTCTTTTAATTAGCATTCCAGCAATTGTTTTGAGGGTTGGGATGGGAGGGGGATTGATGAGGGTCCAGAATACCATCGTCCTCACAGGGGAGGGTTTTCTTGAAGCTTTTATTATGCAGCCACAGAAATTATTCCATATAATTCAAGTCATAATATGGTAATTTTCAGTATAAACTTTATTTTAACTTCTCTTAACTTGATGGGGGAGAAAAGAAAAAGAGAGTGGATTTTGTTATTTTCCATTCAACACTTTAAAATGTCCTAATATCTGAAAGTCACAATACCAAAACAGGGAAAGTATTTCTCTCCAAGACATTCAACACTTTAAAATGTCCTAATTTCTGAAAGTCACAATACCAAAACAGGGAAAGTATTGCTTTTCTTTACTGTTAGGGGGACAAACCATTCCTGGGTTTCTTGAAAACAGCCCTTTTGTGCAAGTTTAATCAGGGAGCAGATAAATGACCATTTGTTGAACAACAGCCAAAACAAAGGCAGTGTCCAAGACATAGGCCCACAAAATGTAAAACATCTGAAGATTGGCAGGAAAACCCCAGACCAAAGAATTCATGCTGAGACCACAGCCTTGAGGAAAACTCAGCAGGAACTTCTGGGCTAACTGCTGACCAGGAAAGATCTTGGAAGCATGAAGAGACACAGCCCAGTTTGAATCTATCTTTAAAAGAAACAGATCCTTACACATTTTTTGTCAACAGGCAGAACAGACAGACTGCCAATGTGACAGGAGCTGCTTTGCCTAAAAATAACCACATGTGAACCACGTGGGTCCAGACACAGTCACAAAACCAGCACACACGAAACATGCAAATCCTGGCCTAGCAGAAGACCAAGAGAAGGAAGTGATAAACACAGGGAAGGAAAGGTAGCAAGCTGCTTCTCTTCTGTCTCCTGCAGGCACAGGGAAGAAAGATCAAGCAATCTGCAATAGCCATGCACTTTGACAGACCTGCTGTTTACTGAGTGATGAATGCTTCAGAGCTTGCCCACAGACAGCTAGAGAGGGCAAAGCCATCTGCTGTGAAACAGAGCACACAGCACGTGCTCACACTTGCCCTGGCTTGGCCCTGAAAAATTACCTCATGTTCTTGGGAAGCTTATGTTTCTGAGGTTCTCTGCATCCAGTCAGCCCTGCATGATTAAATGCATTGATGCTACACAGTTTAGTTCTGCCATAAATCACATTGGCTAGAGAAAAGGATATTCCCCCAATGCAAAATAAATCACAATATGTGGCACTTTTTAATCCCATGCCAGCTTTAATTCCATAAGATGGTTGCTCTGACTTTTCTGTTCTTCCAGCTAAGCCTTAAGACATTCAAGTGAGCAGGAAGGTGCCGTAGGCAAACTGGTCACTACTGACTCATCAATAAAAACAAAAGGGAATGGAAAAAGAAGATAAGGAGCGATCTCAAAACTCCCTGTGCATGCACCTCTGCCTACACTCACTGCAGAGGCTGCTGAACAAGCCAAGAAAAATTCCATCTTTTGGGACCTTTGAGATTCCAAACACTGTTGAAGCTCCATCTCTGCAATTAAGCCTGGATTTCCTTGATTCCAAATTAGACGGTATTTCACTAATGAAACACATTATATTTCTCAGAGTTCATGAGCTAAAGTGGTAGAAGAAAAAATTAAAAAGCCTGAACTCACAAGGAAAAGTGATGAAGCACAGTGCATGGAAAACTACCAACCAATAAAGCTGAAAAGTGTTTCGGTTTACCAGCTTCATATGGGAGACTGCTTTATTCCTGGTAATAAGCTCAGACACCACATTCCAGCACAGTTTTCAAGTCAGCTATTCAGGCTTCAGAGGAATTTTCTGTTATGTTAGGGTATCTGTTTTTAAGAGAAAGCATTTATTTCCTGTGTTAACCATTTGCAGGGCTTTCCCATGGGATAGCTCCTGAAATTACCTGCATTTTTTTTAGTTTATAAGAAACCTGGTATTTCCATCTGTACAAAATGCATGGAACATAGCTGACACTTCTGACAGCAGGCTCCTAGAAGACTTTGATGTAGCAAATAACATGTGGGCTGTGCCTCTGGTGAGAGGATGTGCTGGGGGAAGTGATCTGAGAAATATTGCAGGTCTCCATTTTCCTTGTAAAGTCTTCTGCCCACTTCCTTTTGAGTGTACTGTATAAAGGAGCACATCATCCCTCCTTTGAAATGATCTTAGAAGGGAGAATTGCCTGACTTCCATTTTTCCTCATATTACAAATGCTTCTGCCAGAAGTATAAAGTAATAAAAGGGATTGTTGGCATTTTTAACACCAAAAAAGTCATGTAAAAAAAATCACACCATTCTAAAAATGTAATTTTTTTTACAGTTGCCTAAAGCTTTGGATGAGCATTGTTAGAAGTTTTCAAGCTTTCCTTAGTGTCCATGAAAGCTCCTGAGCTGCCCAGAGGCACTAGATGGCCCTCACCAGCCACACTCCTGGGATCACCAGTGCCATCCCAGCCTCCATCACCTCTGTGCCAAGAGAATGTGCTGGCACTGCTCACAGCAGGGGCTTTCCCAGGGAAAATTAGTTTCCTGTAGTGCAACTGTTACATGAGAGATAAAACCTACCTTTGCCCTCTCCAGCACATCCATAATTAGCAAAGCCTGATTCCCAACCAGAGCATCTGAATGTGGAGTGGATCACCAGCTCTCTGCTCATTGCTCACACTTGATTCCTCCAACAATTTCACACAGTAAGGACTCAAGTCACCCCCTTCTAATGCTTCCAGCATAGACCAAAGCATTTGTCTCAGGATAACTCTTCTCAAAGAGTTCCACTGTCACTTTCATGTGAGTTTCATTTTCTTAGAAACAGCAGCTTTAGTTCAGTTTGGGCACAAAGAGAAAATGAAAGCAAGAAAAAGGAGCACAAAAGCAGCCATGGCTTTTGTTTGAAACGCACTAAACTTTGTCCCAGTATAGAGGGTAGGACAAGATGGCTCATCTGTAACAGCCCCAGCAGGAAAGGGCTGGTGTGTCTGGTGGTCAAGAGAGGCTTCACATGCTGCACAGGAGCTTCTGATTTGGTGTGAGCACCTTGCAATCTCTGGTGCTCACCACTGGTGAACAGAGCCAGCCAGGGCCTGAGGAAGTGGGAGGATGCTCTGACAGCCTGTGATTTTGGCATCTGATCCCAAATCTCAAGATGCCTGGGTAAGGCTTGCTCCTCACACTGTTACAGAGGTCCCTCACTTCCACACAGAGACCTAACATTGAAGAGATGTTGGTCTTGGGTAACCACTGAACAAGAAGGCCACATCACAGACACCATGGCAAATGCCACATCAAGATAACAGGGACTCAAGAATCATCAGTAGTTTTATCACCTCTTCACTTTGCTTAAAAGTATTTGGCTTTCTACAATGCTCATCAGTGTTAGGTATTTTCTGTGTCAGATTTTTTATTTTTTGCTTATACTGCTATCTGGCTGGGAATTGCTGACAGCTTCATATAGGATATTTTGCACTGCAGTCATAAGATTTGACTGTGCAGAACTTCCTCAAACCCCTGTTCTCTGACTTGTGAATCCATACATGAAAGATGAAAGGGAACATGACTCTTTTCCATTTTCTCCCATCTCTGCATTCCTGCTCTCTGTTATTTAGTGCCTGGAGGTTGATACATACATACACACACACAAACACACACATACAGACACACAAACACACAGAACAGCTCCATACTGGAGCCTTGTAGGCTCTGACAGCTTCCTGTAGCACAAATCACTCTAAGCCTTACAATGGTGAGATCTCACCAGAGCCTGTTAATGAACAAAGGCAAAAGCCAGGTGTAACTGACCTGCTGGGTTCTTTTCCTCAGGTTTGGGGTGCATGAGACGAAATGGCAGCTCTGTGCCCACTTCACTTCAGGGAGAAGAAAGAATGCATCAGATCCACAGCTCCACACAAATGCCTGGTTCAGCCTCCTTCCTCCTTAGGCCAGCCTGAGCCCTCAGCTCCAGTTTCACTCATTCTTTTCATTTTTTTCTAATCATAATTTTCCTCTCCAAAAAAGTTAAGATCAATTTTCTCCACAAATACCCCAGGCATATTCACTTACATAGACTGGGTTTATTGTGTGCTGAATGTACTTGCAAGTATATAAAATCAAAAGACATTCTTGCAATAGCTTCATTTTCACAGGAGAACCACAAGCTACTTGCTTCTAACAGCTTAAGGGACAGTTGTTTTTTTTTAGGGAGGTGAGAATGGCAATAAAAAAAGAGAATAAAGAGATGACTAACAACTAGGACTGCATGGTCTGAAAAGAAAGATGACATTTACCTGGAAGTGAGGTCTCCCAGTATGCTACAAAAGAAAACAAGGAGAAAAACAAAGAATATTTAATGTCTCTCTATTCTGGTGCTCCAACAAGTGTTCTTTAATTGGTGGACTACTGAAATCACTTTCCTCATGTACTGTTCTCTACTTGCCACAAATTCAACTGAACTTGTTTTTAAAAAAGGTAGTTTTACTGTTTCATGTCATTCCCATGGACAAAGAGTCTAAGTTTTTGAACTCCTGACCAAGTGTTGGGCATGGCCCCTTTTCCAAGAGCCAAAAGGCAAGTGGATGACCACAGAAGGCAGCAGGCATTTTATCACACTTTAGGCAAATCTTTGATGCATTTTTATAGTAGAATGAAGCATAGATAAATGAAATACAAAGGTAAACAGTGACTAGCATCAACAGAGAGTCACTATCCTGGTCCTTTTTTTCACTGACTGTATCCTGGATCTAACTCATGTTGATAACATCAGCTTTACCCAGAAAGCTAGCTGAGTACAGAACCTGAGCTACAGTATTTATAACTCTCAGGCAGATGTCTTCACCTTCTGCTCTGGGAGAACAGCAATGTCAACATAAGAGGTTCATACAAAGTTTCACCTCACTTCTCACAAAATAGGTCATAGCTTTGTAACAAAAATTGCAACACAAACCAGAGGTTCCTACTTCAGCCATGAAGTTATATGGTATCTAAAGAGAGTAACACAAACCATTTGGCTCAGGGAAAGTTCTCTGGATAGGCCAAGACTGTATTCCAGGCAATTTATGCTTTACAGGGAGCCTTATATCCTATAACATGTGCCCTCTCTTTTGGGGTGGACTGTTCTGGTCTCTCCTCACCCATCAATAACATAAACACACACTCCTCCCTTAACTCCAGGCAGATGTAGCAAAAAGTGTGTTACACTTACCCTGGGACAGTGAGCTTCACTTTGATCTTGTAGGAAACGAGAATCCCCATCACTGTCTTGTCTATTCCATCCTTAATGCTGCCAGAGAAAACAGAGAGCAGGGTGAGGTGGCACAGCAGTGGCACAACAACACACACCTGGAGCAAGAACTAGGGGAACATCCTGAAAGTGGGAGGGCAGGCAAGCTCAGGTACAGCCAATACCTCTCCAAATGTGTGATCCCCGTTCACCCTGAAGGAACATGATGGCTTTAGTAATGGTGCTACGTGTATCCATCCAGGCACAACTTTACAAAGTCCTCACACAAGTGTCTCCTCCATGCTCCCCTCTTCTCTATAACTCTCCTACTACCTGGGACCATTTAAAACTTCACTCACATGGTACTAGAAGCCAAGTTGGTGTCCTCATCCTTCAGTTTTCCATCCAGAGCTATTTCCCGTGTCTCTCGGTTATTTGCAAGCAAGGGCAGAACTATCAGTGTCTTGGTCAGGCTACTGTTTGGCTGCACCTTTTCCCTGAAAATAAGAAGGGAAGTGATATACACACAACTAGGAGAATTTCAAAACAGATTACAAAGCTGCCCAAAAGGAGACGAATTTATCTGTGCAAATTCAGTTGTCAACAATACAGATGTCCACCTCTAATGTAATCAGCAAAATTCCATTTCTAATCAACAGAGAAAAACAAGCACTTACAGAAAATGCTTAATTTCACATTAAGGCACAGAAGCACCTTAAAAAATCAAAACCACAGAATAATGGAACAGTTTAGTTGGAAAAGCCCTTTAAGATTATCGAGTGCAACCACTAAGCCAACACTGCCAAGGCCATCAGTGAACCATGTCCCTAAATGCCACATTGATTTTTCCTAATATCTAATCTACACCTCCCCGGGTGCAACTTGAGGCCACACCCCTGTGCTGCAAAGCTCTGAATTTGCACAAAATGAATCCTAGCTGAGAATACCAATACTGAATGGAAAACATGTCCCTAAGCTACAGAGCAGAACACTGGACAAATATAAAGTACCTGGGTATGCCCAACCCTCCTCACCATGTGAGGTTCAAAGCTGCACTGCCAATACAGTGAAAAGAAGCAAGTGGTTCTCCATAACATCTACAGACTCAAGGTTTCTGTGGGCTTTGTCAGTCCAGAAGAAACCAAATGAAATGCCCTTTCTCAAGCAAGAGTGTTCATGACTTCCAGTCAAACAGCAGCACCTTTCAGAAAAGTGCTGCATCTCTATTTAAAGATTTGCAGCAACTGGGAACCTTCTGCTGCCACCACTAAGCTCATCTAGCAGATAATTACTCTTCAAATCTCTTCTGCAACATCCCCATTCCCTGAAAAAAAGTAAGGTTCTCTGCTGCTCTGTGAAAAGGGGACCAGCTGCATCTAGAGAGTATGAGTGGTGTGGCACACACACGAAGAGAGCACTGTAAGAGCAGGAGACTGCCAGACTGTAAATGAGAACTTCTCATCACTGATGACGAGGGTAATTAAAAGGGTGTGAAGGAGCAGGAGCATTCACTCACTGTGCTTCCTCAGCAGCCACCACTTTGGTGTAGAAGTCACTGGAGTACAGCACCACATTGGCCACCTGCTCCACTGAGGGAGAAAGAAGGAAGCAGACACTCAGGTGTGAGCATACACCACAAACAACACAGTTGCCACCACCCCAAGTCCCAGGAATGGGAAACATGGTGAAGAAAGAAGAAAACCCCATCCATTTAGACCCTGAAGGGACCACCAGCTCAGACAGGCTGACCTGGACAGAGACAAACAGCACACCAATGGCCAAAGTCTGTCTTCCCTGAAATGCACCTGGCCTTGATTTGGAGACAACAGAAAGTCAATAACACAGCTTCTCTTGGGATCCTCTCTTTCCATTATAAAGATGTCCCTCTCCTTTCTCTCTTTGGGTCTGCTTTTATCTCTGGTCCTGATATCTCTTGTGTGCCTACAGCCCATGCATGTGCACTCAGGAGACAGCATCAACACAGAGCCTGTGGTAACAAATGGCTTATATTCTCCAATCCTACACAAAAAATCCCAGGGTAATTCTGACTGAAACACTGAAGAGGAGAGAATCTGTGACCAACAAGAAACAGCAACACAGAGGGGAGAGGGGCAAATTCCTGATATCCCCAACTGCCTTCTTAAACTGTTATAAGCAATAAATTCTGTCTCTCTTTCAGTCTTATTGCACTCTAAGAATCCAAATCAACAGTAAAAACATACCCTGGACTTTGATCTTCTTCACTGTTTTCTCTGTGTTGTTGTTGATGGTGACAGTGACTGGAATGGGCTCACCATGGTAGTATACCTAGAAGGAATGTGATGCTCAGAAATCCAGACAGGAGACTTCTTCCAAGCCCTAACCCCTCCAATTCCCCCAGATTACACCTCACAGAGGCCAGACAGGGGAAGATGACTCCTCCCAGTGATTCATGACCCCTCCTTCAATGACTTCAAATGTGTTTGGTAGGGCTTCAATCACCACTAGCAGTAGCCACTGACAGAAATTAGAGCCCTTGATAGCTGGGACAAGTCAGTCTCAGCTGAGAAAGCAGCAAAATATCCCTTGGCCTGCAGATACCACAACCCCCTGCCCCAGGGCAAATGCCCCCTCACCTCTTTACTGAGGCAGGCTTTCAGGTGCAGGGGCTTGTTGGACATGAAGAACTGCCAGGTGGTCTCTGCACAAGGCTGGGGTCCTGGGCTCTCTGGAGCATACTGCACCTTACGGATCAGCAGACGTGCAGAGTTCCTGGGAAGCAGCAGAGGACACAATGGTGACACCCAGTGCTTGGCAGAAGCAGGAGTTCTGCATCTCCATGTGCTCCACCCAGGAAGTCACTGACAAGGGGGCAAAGCTGAACAAACAACCCAGGTGCACCACTGGACCACCCATCCCCTTAAGGCAAAGCTGAAGAGAGACACATCCTGTTACCTCCTATGAATTCTCTCTTCCACGTTTTCTGTTGAGAAAGCTTTCACCTCAAAGTCCACCCCACAAGTCTGCCAGAGAGAGACAGGACAACTGTGAAATCAGGATCAGAAGACAGGAATATCTGCAGATGTTTCAGTATCTTTCTGCACACCAGAAATTGGCAGACCCCTGCCAGCTGCAAATTATTCTGGCCTCCCACCACTGTCACAGACATCCCTGACAACTGGCGTTGGCACATTCACCTGTTCTACAGTGCTTCTGATAAATGAGACTTAATCCCAGCCTCTGAGAGATCATCCTGCTCCTGAAAGGCTTCCTGTGAGACCAGTGCTGGAAAGATCACATCATAAGACTGACCAGTGTGCTATGCTGCCTGGCCCACCCTGGGTTTCTGAACTGAATTTCTGAGTTGGCTTTGTAATGCCAAAAGCAGCATCTAAGGAGTGGAAGTGATCATGTCAAGCTAACCTTTGCCTTAACAGGTTTATAGCACTGTGGGGCACCTGTGTGAGTCCCAGGTAATTCTCTAGAGAGACAATTTTGCTAGAATATCATTCCCTGGCTTAAAATACAGGTTATCCTTTTTGCACTAGATTCTACAACCCTCATCCCACTTTGCCTGGCTGATTGCCTAGTTCTGCTGTCCAGACAAGCATCCAGTCAAGTATAAAAGGAATATTTTTAACAGTATCAGAAACCTTGCAGAACATATAATTATTTAGTGACTTTTACTACAGGGTTTTTGTTCTGTTTACTCATACGTACAAGCCAGCTCTTCTCTGCATTTAATTCAGGGCAGGTTTCAACACATGTTATTTATAGCAATCTGTGAGATTTTAGGCACTCAGTCTCCTTTTCTTTCATGTAGCCTCGCAACCACAATCATTTTATGTGCAGCCAAACCACAGATCATGTGATAGTCTTAAAGAAGCTACAACACTGCAGATTTTGTAATCTTGCTGCTATTTGTTTGGATTCCCTTTCTTATTCTGAGGATTTCAACTCCAATTCTGTGACACATACTTGTAGCCCTAAGTTCCTGACATCGATGGCACAGCACAGTAAAATCAGTATCACCTTCTCCTACTGTCAAGCTAAACAAATTCACATGTTTTTTTTCCATCTAACTTTCCTTAACTATGATAAGAATAAGTGTCCCACTGGCCTCACCTTATCAACATCACGGGGTGCAGGCTGCAGACAGACTGAGCAAGGCAGGTAATCTGGAAACTGTGGGAGGAAGAAGAGGAAATGCCCCAAACCAATAGCACAAAGATGTTTTAGGTAACATAGTGCTCACAGAAGCAGTCCTGAAAGCAAGGGGTCACTCATTGTAATGCCATAACCCTTTGGAATTCTGGCTAGTATACTTGCCTTGTATGAACAAATCCCTTCCTTCCAAAAATACTTTAGAAGTCAAGAGAGAAAAAAAAGTCCATGCGCAGTGTGAATCTTCTCAGGAACACTAAGACAGACATAGGATGACAGCACTGGAAGGATTTCCTGTTAGAATTTGGCAGTCAGCTGTCATTTGTCATCAGCTGTCAAAGACCTTTTGATCTCCTTATTTGATCCAAAGTTTTTAAAGGAAAATGATTTGGCACTGGGGAAATGGTAAAAAGTATTCCAGCCCCTCAGGAACGGGAAGGCAAGAATATGCGGCTGTTGCTAGCATAAAGCCATTGTAAATTCCCTTGCTTTTTTAAAGAAAGCACTTCTCACAGTGGTGTGATCACTGCACAGTTAGGATCTTCTTGCCTCTCAGGATTGCAAGAAGAAAGAAAAACATTGGTAACACCACCTGTCCCTCAAAATTGGAACTTGCAGAACATGAATTCACTACAAATTCCCATCTTCAGTCCGTCAACAGCCTGGTAACTACAGACAAGAAGACAATCAGAGGCTCTTCTGAAATACTTACTGTAAAGAAAAAGGGATAAGCATTTTTCCCCAGCTTCTTTAGCAGAGATTCCTGCAAGAGGGTGAGAGACTCTGGCTTGTCAGCAGGCGGGTACACCTGGACCCTGGAGAAGAACAGGTCCCGGCGGAAGGCGAGGCCAATCACATCGATGTCTTCCTGGCCGTAGCGGAACACGCAGGTGAGGGACACGAACACTGGGAAGAAGCACAGGACAGGTGAAACATGCAGCAGGATAACAGTGAAGCCAGGCTGGGATGGGGACACCTCCTGCCTCAGGGAGACATGAACTCATTTCAACACTTGCATAACCCAGTGAGTGCTCATTCCGTGTGTAACAACAGACATTGCATTGATAAGAAGCCCATTCACTGAGGTAGAGAGTTACATTTGTACCCTTAAAGGAATAAAAATTATACTTTAGCATCTCACTCAGAAAGACAAACAATTTCTGAGACATACATTGCATAAAACTCAAACCTTTTTTCCCCTTGATAATAGCAGGATCCACCAATACAACACCATCTGAAAGAAAGGGAAAAAATTAAGATTAACATAGATAAAAGCAGGGTTGAGAGCAGGAAGAGCAGCACATAACCTTGTGGACTTACCTACAGGTTCCACATTCCCTATGTTGTCAATGAAGTCCCGCTTTCCCAGGTAGATGGTCAGCTGTGGGGAGAGGATGACAACAGCTGAACCATAAAATGTTTGTGGTTGTTGAGGGAAGGGGGTCACACACATCAGAGAGCTATAAATCTTGCAGAGATCTGAATTCCATTTTAAATGGAATATTTAATTTTTTTTCAGCAAACATGCAACCCTCACCAGACTCAACAGGATTATTCACATGCAGGACATCAGAACTGAAGACCTGATCTAGACAAACTCCCAAAGGTACCACACAAATACTTGTGCATGGGACAAAGAAGTGTAGATTTAAAGATTTTTTGGTGCTGTCAGGTTGGAATGACAATGAATCAGGTTTGTTTTAAACATTTACCAGTAGAAGTACAACCCAGGAGAAGAGTGAGGTGAGCTGCCTTCTCTTGTATTATAACACATGGAAAGTTTGCCCTAAAAACTGTTTACATCATCTCCTCAAACTTAGTGGTAATATGGGTCACACTCCTTCTTCAGAAAAAAATAAAGGGGACAGGAAGGGGCTTTCTAATAAGTCTTCAGTCTGACTGCAGACAAAACAAACCTAAATAAGCCCAATATTACTGTACTCACAGCTTTGTCACGGGTGCTTTTTCTGAAGATAACTTGTTTTTGAGGAGAATCAGCATTCTTCCCACCAATCCCAGTCTTCTGAGACTCAGGGCAGCTCATGGTCAAAGACAGGGATGTGACTGTGGGTGAATGAAGCTTTTCTGTCCCCAAATGTCCTGTGCCAGATGCCTGGGAAAAACAGGTGGATGACATAAACGCAGTAGGTAAAGCACTGTACTCCTGGGCTGTTTCAGACCCCCTCACACATCCAAATGGTGGCTCTGTCTAAAAGCTACCAAGGTGGTTTGTGTTGATAAGGAGTGAGACCAATTCCCAAATAAGAACCCATCTGTGCTGTTGCATTTTCCTCAACCAGAACTCAGTGCAACCCATTATGGGCAGAGCAGCACTGAGCTCAAACCAGAATGAACCATAAGGATAGAACAGTCCAGCCACCTGCCCAGAAAGACAATAATTATACCTAAGAGGTAGGGAACAGCTTGCACCTGAGGGGCAGAAAATATATGGAATAAAAAATATTGAATAAAAATTCTTCAGGAGGAGAAAAATAAGGAGGGAGAGAAAGGCAGGGGGAAGGTGGGGGAAGAGAATGGGGGGAAAATAAGAGAAGCAGTGGAAAAAAGAAGAGAAGGGAAGAAGACAAAGGGGAGACCACAATGGCACAAGAGATATCCAGAGAGAGAAGTCCAGAAAACCTAAGCGGTACAAAGTAGAGAGATTAACTTTTCATTCTAAGTCACAAAATAGCACCCAGTTAATGATCAGACAGCAAATTTAAAATAAAGTAAAGCATTTCCCCCGTTAACAGAACATTCGAGGTGGCTCTGGTAATCACCAATATGAATTGAATCACGAGATTAGACACATTCACAGGGAAAAAGGCTTTTGGCAGCTGTTGGAAAAGGATCCAGGAACAACCTTAACCCTCCCTGTAAGATTCTGAAGGAGAGGAGCAGCATCAGGAAAGGATGATGCCACACATACCCTGTCCTTGCACTCCTCACCATCAGAGCTGTGTGAATGAGAGCACTGTGTTGGACAGACCCCAGTCTGATGGGGTGTGACTGTCCTTGCAATTTGCTCCCATTCTGTTTCTCAGCTTGTCTTATCATTTTAAAACTGCTTCAAGAGTAAACAGTTTCTAGAGCCTATTTGCAGGTAACAAACCAAAGAAAAAGGAAACACTTGCCTTGTTGGAAAGCTGAAAAAAATGTCAGACAGACATTAGAAACAGACCATACACAAGTAAGCATTTCTATTTTCATTAAGTAGGTTTTTCAAGCCCAGACCAGTATTTGTTGCTGACTAGACATACTGTAGACTCAAACACAGCAGCAAATAACATTAAATACCTTGCTGTGCTCCAAGTGGGACAGGAGCTTCCACGGACAGTGATGGGAACTTCGAAATTATCGAAGAAAGATGAATTTTCCGAGGCAGCTGTCGCCTGTGCTTCTTTGCATCTACCAGGGGGAATTACTGCCCTCCTCACAAACAAGGAAGACAATTTGTAGGGGATTTGAAAGCTTGTCTCTGGTTGCGTCCATCCAGGATTTCAATAACTAATCCCTCTTCAAGAGCAAATATTGTACCTGGGCTAAGATTCAGCTGGCAAGTGGTTAAGTCAGCAAGAACAAGGCATTACCTAAGGACACTCAGCTAGTCAGTGAAGAGGTCTGCAATGTCCTGTTCACGTTTTGAAAAGACTACAGAGTTATGTAGCACAGGACAGCTACTGAAAGCAGTTTATTCTAAAGCTCTATCTCTCTTCCTAGGGCTGCAAGACATGCAGCCTGGTGAGAAACTGAACAGACAAGAGCCATTTATGAAAAAGGGAGTTTATAAAACACTACAATGGCATTTTGATGGCCTGTCAAACACTGAGAACAAGGCACTGTTCTCATGATCACTAAGCAATTTATCTATTACTGCTTCACCAGCAGCCAACTGACATGCTGATGCAAAACAATACACTGCTGGTTGTACAATCCCCTCCTCAATTTACTTTAAAAAGCACATCCGGGATTTAAGAAAGACAGATATTTCAATTAACTTCAGCTTCACTGTTCCTTAATCTTCCAAGAGTAGCTTTCTCCCCACAAGTGAATTTGGCCCTAGTATTTTGCACAACAGTATATGTTAACTTTTGTCTTGTGAGCTGCAGGAACAGCTGTAGCTTTCCTCCGGCTGCATCTGTTCATTTGATTACAAGGATCACATGATATCCTGTCCACTTGCCAGCCTAACAGCTCCCTCCAGCTCAAGCAACCTTGCAGTCACAGATCAAGCTTGCTTTTCACAAACAATCACTGACATTTGCCTGAATATATTGGTCCAGGCTACATAAATTACTCAAAATAAAAGAATGACAGAACCAATGTTCTCCAGCTCTTTCAGGGCTCCAGCAACATTTTATTAACTGAAGGGGGATTATTTGGAGAGCTTAATCACTACTCTGTCTAATCAACTCTGGCAAACACAAACCAGCCAGGCTGGAACCACAGAAATTCACACGTGCCTGTGCTGCAGAAGGGAAGCCAGATCGTTGTTGAAAGAAGTAACAAAGAAACCCCAGAGATGAAATTCAGTCACACTTCGCAAAAGCAAAAGGGAGGAAGCTGGTTTTGTACAAGTCTGTGCTGCAGCCACTGCAGGGTTATTAGTTCTGTAGGAGAGGATGAACATTCCTGTTGGCACATGTACCATTGCAAACATCTTCAGAGAATCTTGCAAACAGCTTCTCCATAACACATGCTCCTAGTGCACCCTTAATCCAGAGAAAGGTGTCCAACCTACGCCCAATTCCACTTGAAGGGCAGCTCCACCTCTGGCAGCAAAACTGCTACAGCCACCTCTGCACTACAGGTACCTTCATTTGCTCTTCTTCCTTCTGCAGGCTGAAGCAGAAATGGAGGCAAGAGAAGTAATCAAAATATAGGAAAAAAAAAAGCTAAAATTGCTCACTAGAATTTCTCACATACCTTGGTGCTAAGGAACTTTAATCTAAAATGCTTAAGGACTTAGCTAGCTGGCTGTTATCCTTCAGCATTATTAACCTGCTTCATAACAGCATCAATGGGCCTAACAAAGTCCTTTGGGTAAGATCTGTGCCCGTGCTGTAGAAAAACACAAGTGTAGCAGTGTAAATTATAAACATCCTAAACCCATTCTGATCCTCCTCAGCAGAGCCTGCAGTTTTTATTATGCTAATCTCCCAATAATCTTTCATCATGCTGAGTTGCCACTTTGTGATCTGCCTTCCTGCAGTAACCAAGGTCACCTGGACTCGTGGCAGGTGCCTTTTCACAGACCATATGCCACTGCGGCAGACAGAAGAAAAAATATCTTGCCCTTCGAAACTGTTCAGACTGCCAACTTTCCATTTTTGCTACAGTTCTCACATCCACGAGCTGAATAAAAGCTTCTTTTCTGATGGAAAACAGAGGGTGGCCAGTGACAGCTGTTGGTTATGAAATATGTACTGAAGAGCTGAAGACTTTGCTTCATCACTCTGAAGCTGGAACCAGAGCAGTATCTTCAACGGGGTTTTTGTGTTTTTAAAGAAATGTGCAACTCCTATTCCTGTCTTAAAAACTTGACAAGCTAGCAGTCAAAGTCTCACAGCAGAAAAAGATGCCTATTTTTAGCAGTGTTTGAAATACAGATCCTGATTTCCTCAGTTCAGTAGTTTATCTAAAACATCCAACAATACATCAACCTTTCAAGGACAGAGAGAAAGGCACTTGTTCAATGAGGCAAGACTTTCTTCAGGCTCAAGGTAGGACTACTGAGACAGCGCAAGCCCGGGCTGCACCTGCAGGACATCTAGTCCCAAGCTAAGAGCATTATCCTTTTTCCCCTCGACACCAAATTCCACAATTCACCAGGAAAATGGTATTTCAGGTCGCCCTCTGCACTCAATCCAAACCAGATCTCGCACACAGATGCACAAATAAATAAATCAGAGCAGTGTGGGGTTTTAAAAGCAGAACACAAGTTTATTTACAATCAAGTTCTTATGGGCAGCTGAATAAATAAAAACTTTGCCCCATGTACTCTAATTCCCCTCTGCAGAAAGTGTCTGAACGAAAGGCTGGGTTAGAGGGAGCCTGTCAGAGCAGCTCCCCCAACCCAGCCTCTCCAGAGAACACACTTCCATAGTAAAACACTATCGGGAAAGAAGAAAATAAAGTGCAAATAAAAAGGCAATAAAACGCTGGTGGCTTGTCTTGAGGCCCAGATGATGTGGAAAGGTTTGGCTGGATAAAGATATGCCAGGTAGCTCACACTCAGACACACCATGGTTTAGGGTGCCAGAACAGGGACAGAGCTAAGACACCGCTCTGCACCACAGAGGGCTCCAGCGCAAATGGGAATATTGCACGTGTGCTCAAGAACGGGGCAAGTGGCCTGGGATTGCCAGCACCAAAACAATGGATTTGGGATTTGATGCCACTGCTCCCCTGTGTACTGACAGCCGCCAGGACAGGACGGATGAACAGAAAAGGGAACCAAACATCTGTATTCCAGGACTGAAGTCACAGGATTACTACATTCCTCATCACTGCAGCACAACTTCTAGAACAAGCTCATCAAGCTTAGCTCTCTCCTCACACCCAGTAATCAAACTGCCTGTGGTATAAAAAAATTTAAAAACTCCTATTTTGTGATGCCCAAGCTGTTGGAGGGCATTTCGACACAAGGGTGCAGAAGTCCTGAAGAACAAACCGTTGCCTCAAGAACCGATACAAAGAGTTCACAGGACAGTGCTGGAGAGCCTGTGCCAGGATCAGAACAGATCTAAACTGAGTTGATGACTCAAAGGCAGAGCTGTCAGAGCCATGGGAGACTCTCTTTAAAAGCTGTTCCAAAACTGCCTAGGACGTGTTTCAGGATCTTCTCACCCCATGCCCGAACTAGGCCACCAGAACAGAACACAGGAGACAGAACATGCTTTAAGTCAGCATACACAATGACTTCTTTCCAAAGTTTCCACCTCAGAAGTGCTGTAGATACATTTGTGTGACAGGATATTTGGCACAGCTGTCTGGTGAGGAATCCCGCTAGTATCTTCAGCTCCGTGTGGTGCATAGATACTG